CTATGCGACACAAAAAACACCCCTCTGGTTGACAAAGGTAATTTGCGACTAGTGAAAGGAATCCCACCTCTTAAAAAGGGGGTCGCTGTTCATCCATGTTCATGAATGTGAAGTCGTATTGCTCTGCTGGAGGACTGTTAGGATTGAGTGACGTGCTCAGGACATTTCTGGGACAAGGTGACATTGTCCTTGACGGTCTGTTGAAGGAAAGAAGCTAATTTTCTTTTGAGCTGAAGCTTGAGTCGTAACTTAATTAGGCCATGCTGTAAAATTACCACTAATAACTGTCAGAAGTACCCCTGAGTCACCAGAGAATGACAAAGCTTGGCCGACTGCCCCTTCCACAGGGGAGGGAGCAGCCTGGCGTTCGCCCCGCCTCTCTGAACTTCCTCGAGGGGCACCAGCAGACTCCCAGTCTCAGCCTGCCTGCTTCCCCACCTCTTGGCAGGACTTTACTTCATGAGTGCTTACACATACACACACATGCATGCATGCACACACACGTAATACATATATGTTATATAGGCGACATATACTTTTACATATATATTTTATATGTATGTGCAAAATAGCATTTTAAGAAAAGAAAAAAATCCTTTACCCTCACAGAACTATTTTCAATTTTATATTACATATTATTATATTACATAACAGTTCTTGTCCACAGTCCCCTTTTTCACATAGTGTCAATCATCTTATGTTCTGATTCGTTGACGTTATTCTATTGCCCAAGTTCCTATAATCTTTTAGTTACTATGTTAATGATTACTAAAATTACACGTTGATAACCTCTATACTAACTCAATCAATTATGTTGGGCATTTGGGCCAGAATTGGGTGCGTGTAGGTTGAGTTATGCTGTGTGGATGTGTTTGCTTTGAAACACATAGTGCTAGCTAGGACTTTCTTGTCGCTGTTGTTTTTTTAAAATTTTTAATTAGTGGCCAAGGAAATCATGGATAACCCTTAGATTCAGATTTATAAACTTCAAGCTTGGCAGCTGCAATCCATCCACCTTTGGAGAGAGCATATGTTCTCCACTTTGCTACAGACCCCACTACTCCCTATTGTCATTCTCCAAGCCTGCCTCCCTCATTTACATTATCACCTCTTGATTTCTATATGCACTTGAGTTTGCAACCTTCGATTTAACGTCTTCTCCACTCTAGATAAGGCTTCAGATGATGCCTTGAGGTAATTTTTTGCTTCTGTGGTATTATTAGCTTAAGGTATATTTCTGAAAGCAAGCTTCCTGGGTATAAATATATTTTAGCTCTTGCCATAATGTGTTCCATTTGGGATGTCTGTTGAGGCCACAATCCTCTCCTTTGCAAATAGCTGTCCTAGGTATTCTGCTGCAAGGGGGTTTATCAAAAGCCCAGCTTTTTTTTTTTTTTTTTCCAATAGAGCCCCAGTGGGACTCTGGGTACTGCTACTGCACAGTTCTTCAGATCCTGGAAGATATCCCGTGACTTTCCAATACATTTTGTTTTCTTAAGCTGGATCTAAGTGGTTTCTGGTGGCCCCATTCCTCCTATCAGGTTCTTGAGGGCCATCTCTGTCCTCTTGGGCCACAACTGTGTCCCCCCCCACCCGGCAGTGCTGGCACGTGGTAGGTGCTGAGATGTTGGCTGAATGAGGAGATAAGCCTGAAATAAGACTACCACCTTCCACCTCACCAGACAGGTTGTGTGAAATTGCCCTGTCGTTGCCCTGTTGAAACACCAGTGACCCCCATGCAGCCCGTATCAGGGCCCCGAGCTGGACAGTGTCCCAGCCTGTCAGCAGAGTGGCCCCCACTCCCCCACTAGCACTGAGACTCTTCTTTTATTCTTATTTATTTATTTATTTATAAAATTTATTTATTTATTTTTGGGTGTGTTGGGTCTTCGTTTCTGTATGAGGGCTTTCTCAAGTTGCGACGGGCAGGGGCCACTCTTCATCGCGGTGCGCGGGCCTTTCACTGTCGCAGCCTCTCCTGTTGCAGAGCACAGGCTCCAGACGCGCAGGCTCAGTAGTTGTGGCTCACGGGCCTAGCTGCTCCGAGGCATGTGGGATCCTCCCAGACCAGGGCTCAAACCTGTATCCCCCGCATTGGCAGGCAGACTCTCAACCACTGCGCCACCAGGGAAGCCTGGGACACTTCTTTTAGTGCTCCTCCTGCTTCCCTGATCACCCCTCCTCGATTTCCTATGCGGGAGCCTCCAAACTTATCACTCCCGCACTTCATTTGGGCGTCTATCCCTTCCCAGGGGCCTCCTGGATGCCCCGTATGAAACAACATCTTCCCCGACCACCTGCCCTACAGCTGCATCTCTGCACTAGGCTTTATGCCTCTTCATGGTAATAAAAAATAATCATGGTATCTATCTGTTGTGTTGTCTGTCTCCTCCGGTTAGGAAGGTCATAAGAGTAGAAACTTCTTTTCCTCTTGTTCACTGCTCTTTACCCTCAACAAGGCCTGACCTGTGGTTGGCACCCCATTCACGGATTCGACAAATATGTATTGAGTGCCTACTTTGTATAATAACTATATAAATATATAATGTGCTGGAGGGGGCTTAGTGCCTTGGGAAAAACAGAGCAAGGCAAGAGTGATGAGGAATGCTGGGGGTGGGTTCATTGCAACTTTTAAATAGCAGGGTTGGGGGATTCCTCACGTAGGAGGTGATGTTCTAGCAAACACTTGAAGGAGGTGAGGAAGAGAGCCGGGCACCACATCTGGGGAAAGAGCAATCCAGGGGAGGGAGAAGCAGCAGTTGCAAATGCCCTGAGGCAGGGGCACGTTCAGGGAGTAGTAAGGAGGAAGCATGGCCAGAGTGGAGTTGTCAGGGGAGGGCGGTATTGGAAGAAGTGAAACTGAAGTCAGGAGACCGTGGTTTTAAATCTTTAAAACCAATCAGCCTTATGTAGGTATCACTTCCATACGATAAAACGTGCCCATTTTAAGTGTACAGTTTGATGACTTTTTAATTTTATTTTTGGTTGCGTTGGGTCTTCGTTGCTGCACGTGGGCTTTCTCTAGTTGAGGCGAGCGGGGGCTACTCTTCGTTGCGGTGCGTGGGCTTCTCATTGCGGTGGCTTCTCTTGTTGCGGAGCACGGGCTGTAGGCATGTGGGCATCAGTAGGTGCAGCACGCAGGCTCTAGGGTGCACGGGCTTCAGTAGTTGTGGCTCGCGGGCTCTGTAGTTGTGGCGCACGGGCTTAGTTGCTCCGCGGCATGTGGGATCTTCCCGGACCAGGGCTCGAACCCGTGTCCCCTGCATTGGCAGGCGGATTCTTAACCACTGCGCCACCAGGGAAGTCCCAGTTTGATGAGTTTTGACCAAGGAAACCACTGCCTTGATAAGGTTAGAACATTTTCATTACCCCCAAAAGTTCTTTGTCTCCCCACCGTCAACCCTCCATCTCTCACTGAACTGTTTTTTGATGCCAAGGATTCATTTTGCCTGTTCTAGAACTTCGTTTAAATGGACTCATGCAATATGTACTCTTCTGGGTCTGGCTCATTTCACTCAGCATAAAGTTTTTGAGATTTGTCCATGTTGCGTTTGTCAGCAGTTCCTCTGCATTGCTGAGTGGAATTCCACTGTGTGATGTAGCAGAGCTTGTTTATCCAGTCCCCTGTTGATGGACACCTGGGTTCTTTAGTTATTTACAGCTATGAACATTTGTGTATAGGTGTTTGTTGGATGTATGTTTTCATGTCAAACCTTTTGCTCATTCTTTTAATTGGGTTGCTGACTTATTGAGTTGGGATTCTTTACGCATATACTGGAGAAGTCTTTAGTCTGGCAGTGGTTTAGTGAATATTTTCTCACAGCTGTGGTTGGCGTTTTCATTTTCTTAACAGTATCTTTCAAGGAGCAGATGTTTCTAATTTTGATGAAGTCCAGTTTATCCATTCTTTTCTTATATGGTTGGTGTCATGTCTAAGAAATATTTGCCTACCCTCAGGTTGTGAAGGTGTTCATTTATTTATTTATTTTCCTAGAAATTCTTTAGTTTTAACTTTTATGTTCAGGTCCAGTACAGGGTTTTGAGCAAAGAGCCGATGTGACCTAACTTAACGTGCTAATAGCATCACTGTGCTGTTTTGAGATGAGACTGGTGGGCAGAGCGCAGCCTTGAGGATGCTTGCAAGGAGCCTACTGCAACGATCCAGGCTGGGAGCCGCCGGGCAGAGTGGAAGCGGAAGAGCAGTGAAATTTTAGAAATACTTACCGGCCAGGTTTTCAGGCTTGTTTTTCATCCTCCTTAACGAGTCATGTCCAACTTTCAGGAAAGTTATTTCCCTTCTCTGAAGACCCTTATACTCGTAGTTTTACCTGAGGCCTAGTGTATGTACACACCTTGCCTCGAGCCTGAATGTTCGCTATGCATTTAACTTATCTTCACTTTTTAAAAACAAATAACTGGTTTTGAGTTTTATTCCACACATTGTCATTCTTCAGGCATGGCAGCCCCCAAAACAATATGACAATTCATCTATTCATTCACAAAAGATTAAAGAAAAGGAAAGCAACACATTTCTTGCCATGCTCCACAATACTTCTGCTGGGTAGGACTCATAAATCCATGTCTCTGCCTTGGCCACTCCAACTCATGTCTTATCCTTTCTTTAACTCGTGATTTATTGCTCTCAGTTACTCCTTTTGCCAGATTTATAAACGTAACTGTTCTTTATTTAATACCTATTTTGTACACTAGGCAACAAGACAGTAAATTTATTGTCTATGAGTTGCTACTTTGAAAAATTACATCAATGCAAAGTGATTGTCTTTCCGCCTTCATAGCCAATAAATTTATTTATTTTTTTTTTGTAGGGGATGATATGAGGTCATAGGATAATATATATAATCGCTGATCACAGAATGAGAAGGAACAAGTTGCAGGCAAATGCTCTACCACTGAGCTATATCCCCAAGAAGAAGCAAGTTGAGAGTTCTGACAAACAGAAGCCAGAAGCCGAGAAGGAAGACTTCGGTCTCCTGCCAATCATGTATAAGCTGGTCTCCTGCTGTTTGCTTTTCATAGGATGCTTAAATCCTCTCTGGTCTCTTCCTGTCCTTGACTCCAGGGAAGAGCCCCTGCAGCTCTCAGGTAAAATGATTTCTTTCCCTTATGTCAGTCTTGAAAGAGTCTTCAAGGGTCTTAAATGCAATGTTAGAGATAAGAATGAATATTCTTTCTTAAAGGAGTCTTGTGAAATTAATAGTTCCAGCTATGAAAAGAATTCTGAGGGTCCTTACAACACATCTTAGAGTCAGTAATGGATACGGTTTTTTTTTTCCTTCCTAAAATGTAAAAGTAGAAGGGTAACATTGCTTATTTAATGTCACTTCTATATTTCTAAGTTATTTTGATCAGCTGTTTCTTTTTTTTTTCAATTTTGAAAATGGCACTAAATTTAAAACATCATTGCTTTTCGTTTCTATTTTAAATGAACTGGATGGATGCAGAATTGGTTGTTCCAATTATAGGGTAAAATATTTTTATTGTATCTTATTTTAAGCTAAAAAGTAATCATCTGACACGTGTTATATGAAACAAAAATGTTTATTAAAAAATAAAGAAGTGACTAGCTGGGGCTAGGGATGACACAGATTTCCAAGTACATTTATGTTTTCCTTTTGATTCATGTTTCATTCAGTTCAATTCTAAGTTGAATTCTCTTAAAGTGTATCAGTCAAGCAGATACTTATTGTGCTGTCAGCTCTTAATTTAGTTTAAGAAACGAAAAGGTTGGTGCTTGGGTATTAGGTTCATAAGCATTTTAACTTGTCTTTAATTGTGGTACTTTAGACATTTTTTTTTAATAAAGGAAAAAATCTCTTCTAAGTCATTGATTTTATAATTTCTACTCTCTAAAGTTTCTCTCAAGCAGCTTTCTGATAATTGTCATCTCTAATTCATGCACTATCAGTCAACTTCCACAGTCACTGAACTCATAAGTGGCAGTCATCTTAATGGCTAAATCGGGCATTAACTTTATTGAATCTCTGCTATTTAAAATAAAGAACACTGAAAAGCATAAGATGAAACCAAGAATGAACATTCAGATATTACTGTCATCCTCAAAAAATTACATATCATGATTATGATTTTTCCAAACTTAGATGAGTATAGTATCTCACTTAAATTTTTTTTTTTGCGGTACGCGGGCCTCTCACTGCTGCGGCCTCTCCCGTTGCGGAGCACAGGCTCCAGACACACAGGCTCAGCGGCCATGGCTCATGGGCCCAGGCACTCAGCGGCATGTGGGATCCTCCCGGACCGGGGCACAAACCCACATCCTCTGCATCAGCAGGCAGACTCTCAACCACTGCGCCACCAGGGAAGCCCCTCACTTAAATTCTTAACAAGTGGCAGCTTTACATTAGAGTTTTTGCCTGAAATTTTTTCCCACTTGTTTCTCCATAAATGATCCTTCATGACATAAACATTGATGTGTGGCCAAATTTTACAGATTTCTCATTAATATTCTTCAGAAGTACTGTGAATGTGCCCAGAAGCCTCCACAATGGCTTGCTCTTCGCTTTCCAATCAAGGTCGTAGCTGAGGATTTGGAAGCCTTAGTGAAGCAAGTGGATAGTACAGGACTCCCCAGAAGCTCCATCTCCCCACTGCAGCACCTGGCCAAGATTGCTCTGCCAGCGCCCAGAGTCTGCTCACCAGACCTCACACTCACTTCCCACACACCTTGCACACACTTACCATGCATCTTCTATGCCACTAAGCTGACCAAATTTCACCCTGAAATTGTTGCTATCAACTTCTTTCAAGAGCATTTTAAAGCTGACTCTTCCCCGACAATTGTGCCTAACTCTTGGAGGCCAGGCAGGTAAGAGGTGATGCCATCCTATTTGCTTTACAGGAAGAACCTTAACAATCCTGTCTTTTAGAAAACCACTCCTTCATTTTTCCTTTCACTCCAATTTCACCACCCATATGTCTAAAAGCAAAAGGCAAAAGGCAGCAGTAGGTAAATAGAAATGAGGAAGAATCACTTTGTAAGTGGAAGTGCTTTTTCACTGACCCTGTGGCTCAGCCCTACCCTCTTATTCAAGGCAGTGAACGGCCTGGCAAGGCCACGCAGGCAGGAGGAGTCAGAATGAGAGTCACACGCTTGATTTCCCGTTCTGCTGGCTTGTGAACTGGACTGTAGCATTTCTACTTCTCGGGTAAAATACTACTGGCGACAAACCCGGAATTTAGTATTTGAAGTTTTTCTAGTATTACCTCCTTGTCCCTGGTACCCCCGAAAAGGCAATAAGGAGCAGAAGTGATTGAAGAATCAGCTGAGTTGCTAATATCTATTTCTACTCTGTGTAGCACCTGAAGATGTCGAATCAACTTTGGATGAGCTGGAAAGAGCTTCCCTTCTGCAGATGCTGCCAGAGATGTCAGGTGCAGAGACAGGAGATGGTCTTAGGGAAGCAGGTAAAATGATTCTTGTGTTTACAGCCTGATTTTATTTGATTTTGTTTTATTTTATTTCATTTTTTTGCGGTACACGGGCCTCTCACTGCTGTGGCCTCGCCCGTTGCGGAGCACAGGCTCCGGATGCGCAGGCTCAGCCGCCATGGCTCACGGGCCCAGCCGCTCCGCGGCATGTGGGATCTTCCCAGACCGGGGCACGAACCCGCGTCCCCTGCATCGGCAGGCGGACTCCCAACCGCTGCGCCACCAGGGAAGCCCCCAGCCTGTCTGATTTTTTTGCCACTGAACTTACTCCCTGTGCTCATGAATCAGATGAGGTAAAATCCTATTTTGGAATATAAAGATCAGCTATATAAAATGAGTTAGTCACCCAACGCTCTCCCCTCCGGGCATAAAGACTTCCTCTGACATCTTCTGTTTTCTTTTTCTCAGCAACTCCTTCCAAGCATCCTGCTCTGCTTGGTCCCTCAGTATATCTGTTCTCTGTATGGACTTTTATTTTGGGGGGAAGGAGGGTATTATCCCAGTTTTCAATAAGTGAAATTTACAATCCTGGTTTCCCACTTACTCAAGTCTTAAGCCAATTACTTAATCTATCTGTACCTCAGTTTCTTAAACCAGTAAACGGAATGATAAAAATGCCCATCTCATGGGGTTATTGTGAAGTTCAGTCAATGAGAAAATGCAAGTAAAATGTTCAGCCCAGTGGCACACGAAGTAATCCATGACATGGCACCTTTCACTATTTTCTCTGTCACTGTATTCCTCCCAGCACTGATAGAAATGCTCAGGACATTCTGGAAACAAAATGGAGTCTTTTAATAGAGCTTGTTTAGTAGAAAGAACTTCACTTGTTATAAAATATTTTTGATAAACTACTGAACTGCTAACTCAGGAAAATGCAGTGCCCTTTGGGAATTCCGGAAGCGAGAAAGAACCAGGTGCCTGCCTATCTTCCTTCAAGTAAATATCACTGTGGTGTGAAAAAAAGGAAAATCAGAAACTAGACGTGATTTAGGAATATTCTATTTTGTGCGTTTTAAATAAGACAAGTGTAAAATGGAAATAACAGATCTGATGATGAATGGTTTCAAAATACTGTTTTCCAGATCTCGGTACCAACATTTTTTACCCAAGAGGAAGTGTGAGAAAGGTAAGTAGCCCCATCATGAGAATTATGTTACAAAAGTGAGCATATGCTATGCCGTGACCTCGGAGGAGCCTCAATTCATGAACCAGTCGAGCATTTTCGGTAGAAATCACACCTTAAAATAACTGGTCAGTCAGTATTACTTCAAAGCATGTTCCAAATTTTGATCCATATAAATGTGGATTTAACAAGAACTTATCCAGAGCCCATTTTGGATAAATTATTGTTAACAAGTTTAAGAGAATAAAAAATAGATAAGGCCCCTGCCCTCAAGTTTGTCATCCACTTGTGCTGTGTCATTGATCATCTTCACGTAGTCCGAGGGCCAGCAGTATTGGTATCATGTGGAAGCTTGTGAGAAATGCAGACTCTCAGCCCCCACCCCCCAGCACCTACTGAATCAAAAGCTGCGTCTTACCAAGATTCCCCAGGTGATCCTTATGCACATTAAATAAAGTATGACAAGCACGGCCATATGATGTCTAAATAGAAGAAAGACACGGTCAAAACCCTGAGATGTCATATGTGTGAAAGAGCAGAATATGAAGGAAATCGTTTCGGGCGCAGAAGACAGACTGTGATTGGGATTGATGAATGATAATATTAAATGGTTAGAAATGGTGCACAGTTAATGGAGGACCTTAAACACTAAAAGAAAAATCTGTATGTCATCATGATCAACCCCTCAAACTCTAAATTAGTGTCTCCTAAAGGGCTTTCCAGGTATACCAGTCCCACGAGCCAGCCTACAGTGACACCCCGGGTTCTGGCCCCTCTCCCGTCCTGGTAATATCTTTATGTACATTATTAGCATGTTAAAGCCTCCAGGAAATGAGATAAGCGTATTTAATTTTAACCAAGCATTTCCCAAATATTTTGACTGGAGACACCTGTTTTTGGTGTAGCACCCATTACCATCCTTATAAAAATATACTCTGGAATCCGTCAATTCTGAAGACGGCATACACCCCCTGAGGCCCCAGGGCAGGTAACCCATCCAGAAGGGGACGGGGATGGCTTCTACATTAAACGTTATCATTCAGATGTTTATATTGTTCCGAATAGAAGGGTTATGATGAAAGACTCGAAAATCATAAAGGTGATTAGCATGTGCTCATGAAATCCCAGAAAAAAAAAAAGTAAAGAAGTTAATTTCAAGGCAAATAAAAGGCTACTTTACAGGGAAGACAGTAAATGGATAGAACATGTTACTGACAGATTTAAATAGAAATAGGTCAGTGAGGGTTTAGGAAAATTCACGGCAATCACAGGGCTAAACAGACTGGATGGACCACAGGTAGGGCACAAGGAGACCTTCCAGAGTGTACATGCTGGGCGCTCACCACAATTCTATCCCATAAAACAGCAAGAAAACACTTTTTAAAGGAAATAAGGTTCCTATTTGTGTGTATAGGACTCAATTCATTGATAACCTGTTTTTTTATTTGGATTGTTTTAATTTCAGGCTTTCTCAGGACAAGATCCTAACATTTTACTGAGCCACCTTTTAGCCAGAATCAGGAAGCCATACAAGAAACGTGGAACTCCCTCGGAATGCTTCTGGAAGTACTGTGTCTGAAGTGACATGAACATCTACTAGGCAACACAAAACCAACCATCTCAGAAAGAGTCAAATAAAAACGCTTGATTTGAAAGCAGTATAGATGAAAAACTAGGCAAGCTATACCCTGTTCATTATTATTTGGAAAATAAATCCTCTATGTTTTACAAATATCATGAGTGGTTCTTTTACTTATAAACATATCCTGAAAATCTATCCTTGAATTTATCTTTAAAGAATTATCTAAAAGTTTAAAAGTAAACAAATAAATGAAAAGAAGCAAATACTAAGAAGAAAAAAATCATAAAAGTAAATTTTAGTTAAAACAGTAAAACTACAAATCATTTAACCTACATTATCTTAGCGATGATGTCCTCTCAACCCTTAAAAATAACAACCTGAGTTATTACTTAAAAAAAAAAAAAATCAGTATCTTAGCTTGGAAAAGCGTCCGAAGTGAAAGATGCCTAAAGTTAAGGGCTGGGAAGTCTGAATTCTTTGTTTTTGAAGGAGGGCGTCCACACACTCCGATCCCCTCTCCCTTAGTTAACCTAAGTACTGAACACTTGAAAACTTTAATCTCTTAACACTGAAGCTTGTTTGATGTCAGTTTCTGTGAGCTCAAGGAGCACAGTACTAGAAAAATTCCTTATCTGTTTCTTAGAGAAGAAACTTGAGGTGGGATTTAAGATTGTGGAATGGAAATATAGCCTGGTTTGTTAATTTTTAAAAAGCATGTGTGTGTGTGCACATACTAACTTATCCTCTTAATACATCTATACCATCGTAGCTTATCTATGTATAGAGTATGGAGCTGAGACCCGCGAGCTCCACGCAGCTCCCAGCACGGCCCATGCCCGCGGGAGAGCACTTCTCAAGGGAAACCCAGGCTCCCCTTCTCGGCTCTGTAGCCAATCACACCCCCAACTCAGGAGGAATGAAGGGTCAGGTCCGCACCAAACAGCCACATAATCGGTATTGACCTTGTCAACCACCATCCAAAATCTCTTTAGAGCGCAGGTCTGATAAATCTTCCCTTTCCTCGTCTAAGACATCAAGAACAAATCTGTAGGCAAGTTGTTTCTAGCTTGAAGGATGGACGCGTCATCTCAGGAACATGCTGACATGTGGCTGTGAGGATGCTGTGACATCGCTCGCTGCTGAACTTCAACTGAATCCAGTTCCCTAACACAGGACTCTGGCCGCACAAGTGCCAGTATGTTTATGACACCAGCAAGCGCTTAGGGTGGACTCCATCGCCGTAGAATCCCAAATCCCTCCCGTTTTGTGATACTAGGGCAGCTGCTCTTACAGCCGGGGCTCTGGCGTCAAGTCATTGCTCCCACCCAGCTGTGAGCCCCCAGCCGGGCCATCCAGCTCTCTGCACCCCCGTGTCCTTCTCTGTAAAATGAGGGCAGCGACGCTGCTTATTCCGTGGTTGTATTAAATGAGATCATTCATGGGCAGCACCGGAACGGTCCCTGCGGGAGGAGTACACGTCCCATCTACACTGAGCTCTCTTCCCTTCTTGGGTTGCTGTTGTTTTAAATGACAGGAGGTGCAGGTGGTTTGAAAGGTGTAACATTCAGCAAGTCATGTTGGCTTCAGGATTCCGATTCATATTTTAATTCCAAGGTTCTGTTGCTGCCAGTTCCACAGTCAGACTTTGTGAAACACAGGTTCACTCTACAGAATCTGAAAGAGTAATCTTGATAACTAAATTTTGTAAATGAGGCATTAAAATTAGTATTAAAGGGACTTCCCTTGTGGCGCAGTGGTTAAGAATCCACCTGCCAACGCAGGGGACATGGGTTCGAGCCCTGGTCTGGGAAGATCCCACATGCCGYGGAGCAACTAAGCCCGTGTACCACAACTACYGAGCCTGCGCTCTAGAGCCCGCGAGCCACAACTACCGAGCCTGCGCTCTAGAGCCCGCGAGCCACAACTACCGAGCCTGCGCTCTAGAGCCCGTGAGCCACAACTACTGAAGCTGCATGCCCAGAGCCCACACTCCGCTACAAGACAAGCCACTGCAATGAGAAGCCTGTGCACTGCAACGATGAGTAGCCCCCACTCACTGCAACTAGAGAAACAAAGACTCAACACAGCCAAAAATAAAAAAATTGGTATTAAAAAACATGTACATTTGCTCAGAACCCAATAAGCTCCTCCCAGTGCTGAAGTGAGGACTAAATGCTGTGTTGTCACCGAGCAGGACCTTGGACGCAGAGATGACAGAGACGCAGACACAGAGTGACCCTAACGTGAGCACCCTGCAGTGTCTCTCAATCTCAGTAAATATTCCTCAATGATATAAAATACACATTCAGGGCAAAGGTTTGTTGATGCAGTGCAAGAAATTTCTCAAGTTTTACATGTATACCGTTTATTGTTTTTGCTTAAAAAAGATACCCGATTAAAATATTCATAACCATTAAAAACAAGTAAATTCACAGTTAATTATAAACTCAGTTAAAAGAAAATTTCCATTTGGATTAAATTTACCTTGTGAGTTATGATGAAGTTGCACTTAATTGTAAAACGATTCCGTTCGCACCGCATTCTGTTGTTCATAAATCCTGACCTCTCATCCAAGAAAATACAGCTTTTTGGTAACATTTCTGTAAACACTGAAGCCTATAGTATACATTTTAATTACCAATTTCTATAGTTATCGATACAAAAAGTTAATAAACTTGAACAACTGTTTAAACTTGGGGGGAGCCCCCCTGGGGGGCGGCAGCCGCACTGCTGAACCTTGTCTGCTCATCCTCAGCAGTAGAAGCATCATGGTCCAAACTCTAAACATGATAATTCGGCGACTTATCAAAGTATCAAAACTACAAATGGTTTTATAGATCTGCTTACAACAAGCACCAATTTTAAATTGACCCTAAACGTGTAGTAAGGCAAAGAAATAAGCAAATGTCGATAAAACAAACATCCAGAAGAATCGAAAAGAGGGCTCATATTAGAGAAGGTCAGGTTTAAAAAACATGTTCACAAATGCAGAACAGTCCTCTGATTGCCCCATGTCATTTTTAATTTAAAAAAATTAACAAGGTTATCACTACAGAAGGTCACAGCGATTCTACTGATGGACAAAATCCAGGCTGGTTCATTTTTTAAAATTTGATTTTTCACCAAGGGCAAAAATACCACACAACTGGACCAACACAACAAGGGCTTCAGAGATCATTTAACAATCGAGATGGAGCAGAATAGGAGAGTTCTCTATTCATAAGACAGGAATATGGGCATGAACAGCTTAAAGTGAGAAAATTCCAGGAAATGTCACGGGCATCATTTGAAAATGGTTCTGACCCCTGAAGAAAGATTTACCTTCTAGGAAGCTAGAGTTGGCCCCCCGTATTCCTGGTGGGGAGAATCGGGGACGGGTGTAGAATCCTGGGCGCGGATCCGCGGGTACAGAGGGCTGACTGTACCACCACGTTATAGAAGGGGCTCGAGCATCCATGGATTTTAGCATCTGCGAGGGGGTCCTGGAACCAATCCCCTGCAGATTCGAGAGCCGTCTGTTCCACTTTAGAAAGTAAATCTAAGCTACGAGGCTTGAGAATCAGAGTCCAGCAGCATTGTGGATAGAAAGGTTGATTCTCATAATTAGGAGCAGGATGCATTTTATAAAAAACTATGAAACTTGAAAGGAAGAAGCGTTTTCCTAAAACAAAAAAAAACAACAAAAAAACACAACAGCAACAAAAGAAAAGTAAGTTAGTTTGTTGCATGTTATTTAAAAGAGAAAAGGTTATTCCAGCCTTCATTTTCTTCTATTCCTGTTTCTGATCTACATGGGTGTGAACTGCACGTCATTCCAAGTTTGAGAAGGAATCATCACTTCTCTAAGAAGAGGGGGCTCCCTTATCATGCAAACAACTCACTCACTTCTTAAAAGACACAACTTCAGCAGGCCCAGGGAGCCCTCACTTGTGGCAGATTCTGCAACCCTCTTGGCTAGGGACCTCCCGTAGGTCCCTTACCCCTATTTAAGGGCAACACTTACCCCTATTTAAGGACAAAAAGAAGGCAGTGCCAATCAGACCTCTGGCAGGGATTGAGAGACATTCTTTTGTGTAAATTGGTTGGAAACAAAGAGTTAACTGTTAGTTTTGATAAGACAACATTTAAACACATACGCATATAAGAACAACATTAACTCTTACATGACTTTAAAAACTTTTTGCAATCATTATTTAAAAATTTCAAAGAGTCAGAAGCTGGTTGAGCTAGAAGCTCTTTTGTTTTAACATTACACACGCAAAAGCTAATTTAAACCCCGCAAAGAATAAGCTCATTGTTAAGCTGATCCATTTTTAACCAAGACTTTGAGAATTTCAGTGGAAGGTAGAAAATCAAAAGGAAAAGCGGCTACAAAAATGAAGGTCAAAATTCAACCCTAAAAGCTAGGAATTTCCGGTACACCAATGGACAATACATTTTCATACTGGTCAATGCTGAAGTGATCTGTGTTGCGTTGTGAGAAAACTGGAATGTCAGACCCTAACTGTGGAGGGATGTGTCACCGTGCAAAGACCAGGTGAGGGCACTGTATTTATGGACACTGTTAGGAAAGGTACATGGCCCATAGCGGGGATTTCTTGAAGTCTCTAACAGGGGGAAATGATTCATGTAACAACAGAACAAAATCAATGAGGCTAAGGTTTGGGGCTCTTTCTAGCTATACTTTGGTTTCTTTAAATAAATTTATTTATTTTATTTACTTTATTTTTGGCTGCACTGGGTCTTCTTGCTGCACGTGGGCTTTCTCTAGTTGTGGCGAGCAGGGGCTACTCTTCGTTGTGGTGCGCGGGCTTCTCATTGTGGTGGCTTCTCTTGTTGCAGAGCACGGGCTCTAGGTGCGTGGGCTTCAGTAGTTGTGGTGCATGGGCTCAGTAGTTGTGGCTCACGGGCTCTAGAGCGCAGGCTCAGTAGTTGTGGCGCACGGTCTTAGTTGCTCCGCGGCATGTGGGATCTTCCCAGACCAGGGATCGAACCTGTGTCCCCTGCATTGGCAGGCAGATTCTTAACCACTGCACCACCAGGGAAGTCCTCTAGCTATACTTCTAACTGTAATTTATTTGGGGTGACATCTGAAATAAAGTTTGACACATACCTCTTTAGAGGTCATCCAATCTCATTAGAGGACAGCCAAACTAGAAAAAGAGTCTATTTGACAGTTTAAATACATTGGGGAAAAAGACAAGGAAAAGAGTCTATATACAATGTCTGCTTCAGGAAAATGATGTCTGTTAAAAAATCAGGAAGGAAAAAGCTTAATATTCAATGATAACTTCATGGTCATTTAAGACCCGGGGGTTTACAGAGAATCACAAGGAGGTCTAGCTGTCCCACAGGCCTGGAGAGGGAGTACAGGTGCATCTTCAGAGTCACTCAGCTGCTGCTTCTGCTGGATCCCGACCACAGGATTCTGCAGCATCACCAGCTGAATCTCCGTTTTCGCAAGTGACACAGCCCTCCAAAAAGGAACAAGAACAGGCAGGTTATTTGATGTGAAGTCACCTGAAAAGTGTTTAAACCAGTAAAATGCCGGCCAAGCAACCTGTGTCTCATTCTCCCACTTATTCACATCTAAGACTATCCATTATAGTTCATCCCTTACTATTAGAAGGGAAATGACAGCAACTGTTTAAATACTTTTGCTTAAATTGTTTTGGGGCTCATTCTTCATATACTCTTCCCACAGAAATTCCTGCTCGGCATGAATCCTAAATCCTAAATCCTAAATCCTCTGGTGTGAATCTTACATCTTGAGATTCAACTCTTTTCAAACATGCACGCATATTTGACATGCAAATCTTATACTCTCCTCCCCAGTCAATCACATATGAAAGCAGGTGTCTTTACTCCTAACTGCCCCGTAACATTCCAACTGGTGGAAGAAAAAAACACTTGGAGCCAGAAAGACCTGTATTCAAAATCTGAAGAACTGAGCCCTTACACAGTTGTCCTTCAGTCTGTGCAGAGGGCTTGGCTCCTGAACCCCCTGAGGATACAAAAATCTGTGGATGCTCAATCCTTATATAGATGACTTGGTGCAGTCAGCCCTCTGCACTCGAGGGTTCCGCATCCTTGGATTCAACCAACTACAGATTGAAATTTGAACTGTGGATATAGAGGGCTGAGTGTACAAATTATTTAGTATCTGTATACCTCACTTTGTTGTTATTGGTAAAGCAGGGATAATAACACCTACCACAGAAGCAATTGTGAAGATTAAGATTTTCAGCGGGATCATGCAATGCACAGTCGGCCCTCTCTGCAGGTTCCACATCCACAGACTCAACCAACCATAGATCGAAAATACTTGGGGAAAAAAATTCCAGAAAGTTCCAAAAAGCAAAACTTAAATTTGCAGTGCACCAGCAACTATTTACATAGAATGTACGTTGAATTTACAACTGTTTAAATAGCATTTACATTGTATTAGGTATTATAAGTAATCTGGAGATGATTTAAGGTATACGGGAGGCCATGCATAGGCTACATGCAAATACTACGCCATTTTACATGAGGGACTCGAGCATCCGCAGATTTTGGTACCCCAGGGGGTCCTGGAACTAGTCCCCTGCAGAAAACGAGGGATGACTGTACACTAAGCTCCCAGAACACTACCTGGCACAGAAACAGCAACACATGACAGCTGTTATTACTGGGCTTACCTGGATGTCTATTTCCTGAGGGATCGTCTGGCTCTGAATCCAGGAACGCGCATTGGCCAGCTCCTCCCTTTGTCCGTGAGAAAACTGCGGCTGCCGCCGCCTCATGCTTTCCAGGTTTTCTAGGTCTTCTTTCAGTACAATTTCTTTAACCCTGAAACAAACGAACAAACAAACAAAACCTTCACAGTCCTAAATAAGGCACAGGGTCCTTATCTTGTGATCTAAGAACAGCACTTCTTTTTACTTTGTAATATACTTTATATTTCTTGTTAGTATGTGACGTACACATCAAAAATATAACAACTGACTCATTTCCTTGTCAGATTGGTAAAGCTAGGCCTCTTTCTCTTGATGGCGAATACCTGTATAGTGTTTTAATGAGTCATATGGAAGAAACAGATTTCCTTTAGGTCTTCTCTTCTTTTAGAATGAGAGAAAAAAGTCCAGGCTCTAAAAAAAGTTCTCGTCCCTGCGGGCTGTCTTGGAAAGCACTGCCTCTCTTTGTTTTCTTGTCTCAGGACACATAACATATTTATACCGTCACTACCACTACAACCATTGTTTTAAGAAATCATTTGTCTTTTGACTTCAAATGAATGAATTTGAAAATACATTTCTCTAAGGATATGTATAAAAACATTAAAAATCACTTTGTATTAAAAAACACACTTAAGAAACCATAAAACACTTATATAAAGGTGGGTCTTCTAACATGCTTTCTTACCTCTCAGGCACCTGATACGTCATCAGAATGCACTCAGGTGTTTGTTCTATCATTCTCCAGATGGACTCTTCAGCTAAGTTGGGAAATGTTTCTTTTTTCTGTACATCCTGAGACTGCTGCCCATTTTGAAAGATTTCAGAAGAATAATCACTAGTAGCAAAGTTTATACTGCTGCCACTGCTTCCTATCAAAAATCAACAACAAAAAAATTTGAAAATACCTGTCAGGGGCTGATTTGCCAAACTGGCCCTCATTCTCCAAAGACTTTGGCAACTAGCTGGTAGGGTCCTTCACCACCCAGAGCAGCCATCATCCCAGGTCACCTCAGCCTTCCAGTTCCTCGATCTTCCCAAGATCTCCTTCTCAGTCTTCCTGAACTAGCCTCCTCCCAAGGCCATTCCTTGTTTGTTCTCATCACCCACAACTGCTCCATCTCCAGCTCCGTCTCCAAAATCACCAACCTCTCAGCTTCAATTTCTTGTTTCCTTGTTCTACTCTTCCAACTACAAATTTGGAACCGTGCCTTAGCCATTCTGCTTAGAGCCCAAAGCCCATCATTCATTCAGTAGCACTCTGCAAGACCTGAGACTTCTTTTTCCCTTTAATTTTCCACAACTATCAAAATGTAACTCTGATAAAGCCACTTATCAATTCTGTTTTTATCTAAGCCCAAGTAGCCAAAGGCACAGAGAAAGTCACGTATAACAGGGTGCATTGGTTCTACAGTAAATTCGTCACCACCAGAGGATCATCACAAAGCCTGTAATCCTGGTACAGCTCTGTGGTCAGCACACTAGTCTATCCCCAGCAGGATTATCTTCTACTCCTCTATTTCCTCCCTCACTCTCACCTAGTTTTTAAGAGAAAAAAAGGAAGCCACTGGAAAGGAAATTCATCCTCCTGATACCAAACATAAACGTACTCCTATCTACATTCTCTCCTCACCACAGAGGAGAGAATGTTCCTGAATGTTCTCTGTTACCACAGAGAAGCCGTCCATCCATCCCAAGTCCCAGCGCTTTATGGCTCTTATGGGGCCTCATGGATCATTCCTTTCCTATCTTGCCTGGGACCCTTCAAGGTCCTTCTCATTGACTTTGGAACAATTAAAACAAAACAAAGTACCTCTCTAATTTTTTAAAAAAGGGTATGGGTAAACATAAAAGACATTTTTCCTCATTAGAAAAATCTCATTAAGAGGTAACTGTTTAAGGCAAAAACAGTAAAACTTCTATTGTGGGGTTTATAATACATGGTGAAGTAAAGTGTATGACAGAAATGGCAAAAAAGAGGGAAAATGGAAGTACTCTGTGTTAAGGTTCTTAGACATAAAGTGATAGAATAGGTATAATATGTGAAGGTAAACTGGGATAAGTAAAAGATGCATGTGTAAATCCTAGAGCAATGACTAAAAAAAAAAAAAGGAAAAAAGGAAAAAAAAATAAAAGAATAGCTGGGAGGCCAATAATGGAGAGAAAATGGAATAATTAAAAATACACAATTGGGCTTCCCTGGTGGCGCAGTGGTTGAGAGTCCGCCTGCCGATGCAGGGGACACAGGTTCGTGCCCCGATCCGGAAAGATCCCACATGCCGCAGAGCGGCTGGGCCCATGAGCCATGGCCGCTGAGCCTGCACATCCGGAGCCTGTGCTCCACAACAGGAGAGGCCACAACAGTGAGAGGCCCGCGTACCACCAAAAAAAAAAAAAAAATACACAATTAACCCAAAAGGAGGAGGGGAAGAGAAAAAAGGAAGAACGAGCAAATGAGACAAACATAAAACAAGTAGCAAGATGGAAGATTTAATTTAAACCTGATCATATCAATAATCATATTAAATGTAAATGGTCTAAGTACTCCAATTAAAAGTCAGAGACTGTCACATAGATAAAGAAGCAATACCCAACCATACACTGGTTACCAGAAATCAACTTTAAATATAAAGACACAGATAAAAGTAAAAAGATGGAAAAAAATATTCCATGTAAACACTATCAAAATAAAGCTGGAGGAGCTACACTGATATCAGACAAAGTGGACATCAAGAAAGGTACATTTCATAATAGAGAATCCAATTCATCAAAAGCACATAATCTTAAATGTGTATGCAACTAATAAAAGAGTTTCAAAATACATGAAGCAAAAACTGATTGAACAGCAAGAAAAAAATAGACAAATTCACAATTATAGGTGGACATGTTAACAGCCTTATCTTAATAAATGAGAAAACAAGTAGATAGAAAATCAGTTAGGATGTAGAAGGCTGAATCAACATTATCAGCCAACTTGACCAAATTTACATTTACAGAAGAATGCTACTCAACAACTGCAGAACACACATTCTTTCCAAGTGCATATGAAACATTTATCAAGACAGACCGAATTCTGGACTATTAAACAAGCCTCAGTAAATTAAAAAAAATACAAAGAATGCTGTCTGACTGCAATTAAGTTAGAAAGCAATAAAATACCTGGAAAATCCCCAAGTATTAGGAAATAAATACATGTCTAATAACCCATGGTCAAAGAAGAAAACATAAGGGAAATTATAAAATATTTTGTACTGAATGAAAATGAAAACACTCATACAAAAATTTGAGGGATGCAGCTAAAGCTGTGCTTAGAGGGAAATATAAAACGTTAAATGTTTATATTAGGAGGGGAAAAAAGGGTCTCAAATCAATGCTCTAAGCTTCCGCCTTAAGAAATTAGAAAAAGAGTGAATAAAATCCAAAGTAAACACATGAAATAATAAAGATTAGAGCAGAAATCAATAAAATACAAGACCAAAAAAAATAGCAAATAAACCCAACGAGATCAAAAGTTGCTTCCTTGAAAAGTTAATAAAAGTGGTAAACATAGAGCCAGAATGATAAGGAAAAAGTAATAATATCAGCAAATAGAGAGGAGACATTAGTATAAATTCTAAAGACATTAAAAGGATAGGGACTATTATAAATAACTTTATGCCAATAAATTCAACAACTTAGATGAAATGGACAATGGATCTGTATCATCTTGAATGATACAAATTACCAAAGATCATTCTTTGGAAGAAATAGATAACCTGAGTCTATTAACCATGTCTATTAAAAAAAATCAAATTTGTTTTTAAAAACCCTTTCATAAAGAAAACTTCAGGCCCAGATAGCTTCACTGGTGAATTCTACCAACCATACTAAGGAAGATATAATATCAACTCAATACAAACTCTTCCAGAAAATAGAAGAGGAGGGAACAGTGCCCAACTCATTTCTTTTGTTAGGCCAGTATTATCCTGATACCAAAACCAGATAAAGACATCATAAGAAAAGAAGACAATGGACCAATATTTCTCATAATAGGTGCAAGAATCCTTAAAATATTAGGATATAGAATCCGGTAATATATAAAAAGGATAAAATAGCATGACCAAATACAAGATTAATTTAATATTTGAAAATTAGTTAATGTAATTCACCATATTAACAGAACAAGGGAGAAAAACCATATGGTTAATCTCAGTAGAGGCAGAAGGGCTTCCCTGGTGGCAGGGGTTAAGAATTCACCTGCCAAGGCAGGGGACACAGGTTCGAGCCCTGATCTGGGAAGATCCCACATGCCGCAGAGCAACTAAGCCCGTGTGCCACAACTACTGAGCCTGAGCTCTAAAGCCCGCGAGTCACAACTACTGAGCCCACGTGCCACAACTACCGAAGCCCTCGTGCCTAGCGCCCATGCTCCACAACAAGAGAAGCCACCCTAATGAGAAGCCCGCGCACTGCAACGAAGAGTAGCCCCTGCTCACCACAACTAAAGAAAGCCACGTGCAGCAACGAAGACCCAATGCAGCCAAAAATAAATACATTGATTTTAAAAAATAGATGCAGAAAAAGCATCTCTGTAAATCTGCAGCAGAAAGGAACTTCCTCAATCTTGCTGAAGGCCATTTAAGGAAAACATACATTTAACATCATACTTAACTGAAACTGTGACAGATTTCCCCCTAAGACGATGAACAAGGCAAGAATGTCTGTCTAACCACTTCTATTCAATACAGTAAGTCCCCTACATACGAACGAGTTCCGTTCTGAAAGCACATTCCTAAGTCCAATTTGTTTGTAAGTCCAACAAAGTTAGCGAGGTACCCAACTAACAAAATCGGCTATATAGTACTGTGCTGTAATAGGTTTATAATACTTTCACACAAATAATGCATAAAAAACAAACACAAAAAATAAAGAAAACATTTTTAATCTTCCAGTACAGTCCCTTGAAAAGTACAGTAGTCCAGTGCAACAGCTGGCATACAGGGGCTGCCATCGAGTGAACAGGCAAGAAGAGCTACTGACTGAAGGAGGGAGAGGGGGTGGGAGATGGTAGTAGAGCTGAAGGGCCGTCAGCAGTAGGAGACGGAGGGCAAGCTACAATGTCACTCATGCCTGATGCTGACGGAACGCACGTTCCCACTTTGAAAATTCGCAACTTGAAGGTTCATATGTAGGGGCCTCACTGTACTATATTGGGGGTCCTAGCCAGTCCAAGAAGGAAAGACAAATAAATTAAGGTATACAGATCAGAAAAGAAAAAGTAAAACTATGGCAAGTTTTGAGAATACAAGTGCGAAACACAAAATTTGATTGGCTTTCTATATGCTAACAACAAGCAATTGGAAATTGAAATTTTAAAATGCTATTTACAATAGCATCAAAATTATGAAATCCTTAGTGATAAATTTAGCAAAGTAAGTGTAACCTGTACACTGAAAACTACAAAACATTGCTGAGAAAAATTAAAGACCTACATAAATAAACAGATCATACTCGTGGATCAGAGGACTCAATACTGTTAGGATAATAATTCCTCCCACATTGGTCAGTAGATTCAACATGATGTCAATCAAAATCCCAGCAGGCTTTTGTGTAGGAATTAAGAAACCGATTCTACAACTTATTTATTTTTAAATCTTTTTTTTTTATCGAGGTAGCATTGGTTTATGACATTTGTAAGTTTCATGTGTACATTGTTATTTCTACTTCTGTATACACTACAGCGTGCTCATCACCAAAAATGTAGATTCCATTACCATACATTTGACCTCCTTTACCCACTTAGCATCCCCCTTTCCCTCTGGTAACCACTATTCTGTTCTCTGTACCTACAGAGTATTTGTTTTTGTGTTTTTCTTCATTTTTTCGGTCTGTT